GAGGGATGGAGCCAGCAGTGCTGTCCTGTCCCCAGCGCAGGTTTGGGGAGGGATGGAGCCAGCAGTGCTGTCCTGTCCCCAGCGCAGGTTTGGGGCTGGCAGGGCTCACTGCTGCTCTCACAGCTCTCACAGCAGCACGGGCAGCTCCTGGATGCTCGGGGGCTCTCTGTGTGCCCTGTGGCATTCACTGGTGCCCTGTCAGATCCCTGCAGGCCAGCACAGAGCCCCCAGCACGGGACAGCACCCAGAGCCCCCCAGGGAAACGAGGGCAGGGCTGGGCAGGAGCAGCAGCAGCTCCCGGGGACCAGAGGCTGCTCCTGCTCCTGCCCGGAGCCTCAGGGGCTGGGGATGCTGACTCCAAACGCTGCCATTTCCCAGCCCCACGCAGAGCCCAGGTGGGACCCGGCTCCTTCCAGCCCCTGATCTTGGGGCCTCTGCAATGAGAGGATTTGTGCTGCTCCACGGCAGGACCCCAGAATCAGAAATCATGGATGGTTTGGGGTGGGAGAACCTCAAAACTCCTGGATTTCCAAGCCCCCTGCCCTGGCAGCGATGCCACATCAGATTGCTCCAAGCCCTGTCCAAACTGGCCTTGAAAAGTGGAAAAAGTGACAAAAATTCCAGTACAGTGGTTTTACACTGCACTTAATTTAGCCCCAGACTGCAGATTCAGAATTTACACAAGTTGCAGGCTGAGCTCTGCTGTTCTAACCCGTGTTTCTACATAGAACTATGTGGGAAAAGAATTTGGGCTGAATTGATATTTTGGTTCACCTTTATTGGATTTACTGGTTCATTCGAAAGAAGAAAACCCCCCAGGAAAATAACATGAGCTTGTCTGTTCCATTTTAATTTTCCTATGGGATCAGTGGGCCAGGTCATACCAATGAAAAGATTTACAACCCCTCTTTTGTGGCCTTTAATTAGGACTGTAGTAGCTGTCATTAGCTGATTAGTTTGCTGGTTTGTGGTCTTGTCAGTTTAGCCAGTGTTTAAATTCCATGGGGAAGTGCTCAGGATTAGACACAATCGTTGGTGGAGTTCAGTGGTGCCCATTTCCACTTGGAAACAGCTTTTTGTGAGTTCACTGAGCAGTTTGTGGTTGCTGATTGGACTTGTGCTCTCTGCTGCTCCGAGGCAGCTGCTCAAACTCTCTCTGGTCAATAGTTTATCAGCTCAGGATCTGAAAGAAAAATCTGACTTCTGACTTGAGAGCCTGGATGAAAGCATTCACTTTTATTGATTTTCCAGCTTGTGAAAAAATGTTTTCATTGGAGGATAGAAATCTCTAAGAATTCCTTACTCTTCAGCATCTCACCAAGGTAACACAGCCTGCTCCTCGCACGGCTTTAGAGAGGCCGTTTAGTTCATAGAATTGCACTTTGCTGCTTCACTGAAATGCTTCAAATTCTCCAGTTCTGCTCACCTGGCCAGCCCAGGCCCTGCAGGGGCTGTCCCCAGGCCAGCAGCGCTCCCCTGGTGAGCGTTTGTACAGATGTCGGTAGAAGTTTTGTAAAACACGACTTGAATAAAGAAATATTTATTAAAAGCCTTTGTTTCCCAGAATCTGTTTGTTAATTAGATGAAGAGCTGCGTAAGCACCTGACTGAAACTGTAGCTGTGAGTGTGATATATTGAATTTAGGGGAGGAGCTGGTGAGCAGCTGACAGAGATAAGGCAGAGGTGGGATGCTGTTGCAGAGGAGGGAAGGAGCCTCTTCTGTTTAACTTCCCTGTGATGACAGCAAAATCCATGAGAGGATAATTAAAAAAAACAAACCAGTGTTTCTCAATGGAACTGGAACCAGGTGCCTAAACGAGGGGAGCAGAAACTGCAGTCAGGTGCCCCCAGTGTAACCTGGCAGGACTGGAGCAGGACAGCAGCTGGGTGCTTCCAGTCCTGTGGGCGCAGGGCAGGGGCTCTGTTTGTGCCAGAGCTGGCAGAACCCGCGGAAAATCGCTCCTCTTATGGATTGTGTCATCTTTGCTGAAGAAATGGCAGGGTGCTTTGGCCTGGCTGCTGTTTTAAAGGCCGGGCTGCAGAAGCCCTGACCTCCTCCCCGGCTCCGTTCACAGCAGGCTGGCGATGGCAGGCGTTTGCATAATCCGTTTTCCAGACTTAGGGCCCAGCTCCAATTGGATTTGGCTGATCGGATTTCCTTCTGCTCTAAACTGGGAAGCAGGATGGCTTGGAAAAGGCAAATGCCACTTGACTTTTCTGGGCTACCATCTGCTCCTTGCCGATGCCCCGCGGCTGCGTGGGAGCGAAGGTGCAGAAATCAGCTTGGAGAGCTGGAGCTGAGGCTGTTGTGGAAGGGAGAGGGAGCAGCAGCCAAGGAGGCGTCACATCCTAAAATCCTCCGGGAGATGCATCCCTGAGCAGCAGGACGGGAGGCTGAGGAGCAGCGAGGGTCCCGCACGCAGCTCTGAGCTCAGCTGAGCTTTGGGCAGGGGCGGCTCTCCGGGGCTTTGTGTCCGGGACATTGGTGGGCAGGATCCCTGGAAAATGTCCCGTGGGAAGCCAGAGTGACCTCCTCAGCCCCGAGCCGCTCACTGCAGGCGCTGCCTGTGCTTCTCTAACAGCGCCTGTGCTCTGCTGTGCCATGGCAAAATTCCTTTCCTTTCTTTCCTCCCTTTCCTTCTTTTCCTCCCTTTCCTCCTTTACTTTCCTCCCTTTCTTTCCTTCCTGCCTTCCTGCCTGCCGTTCCTTCCTTTCTTTTATTTCTTTCCTTGCTGACTTTCCTTTTCCTTTCCTTCCTTCTTCCCTTTCTCTTCTTTCTTGCCTTCAAAATTAAGTGCACCTCGGGAGCCTGGGGAGTGCCTCAAGTGCATCACC